GGTTAATCCCATTTTAAACAGATTCAGGGGTGTGAAATAATATCTATGTACAATTTTATAGTGGATAAACTTACATCTCACATCCCTCGAAGCCCATCCCACATTTGAAATCACATCTTGCCATGTTTCCTCATTAATCTCTTTACCAAGGTCCTTTTGCCATATCAATCTCAGACTTTCACACATTCTTTTATGTATATGTGACATTTTCTTATAAAATCCTGATGCAGAATGTAAAGTATGAGGTAAATTAAGAAATTTTTGGACCTCATTCTCCTCTTCCTCTACCCTTTCCAGCTTAAAAGTGGATTTCATACTACTCCTGAGCTGCAAATACTTCAAAAAAATCCCCTTTATTAGTTAAATTAAATTGCTCTTTAAGGTCCTCAAATGATATAAATATACATTCTTTATAAAGATCACTGACAACATGTATCCCCTTTGTTATCCATGTATCCCAAAAAAAACGCCTTTTTTCCTATACAGATTGAAGAATTATTCCATATAGAGGAATAACTTTGCTTATACTGTGAAAGCCCCAAAAGTTTGTGTGCTCTTGCCCACACCCATTGAGAGTGCTGTAAAATTAGGCTCCTCTCTTTTGTCTGTGTTACTATCTTCTTCTGAGATAACATTCCTACAACCCCAAATGGAGCTGCTAACGCCTCCTCTATTTTTACCCACCCTGGGTTAGATCCATGATTTGCCCAATGCCTTAATAAGTGATTGGTTACACCCTTTTGATGTTGGCATACCTTCAGATTTTTGCCAGTTTATTACATAGCCTGATATTTTTGAGAAGGATTCAACTATAGATAAAACATTGGGAATTGACATTATAGGGTCCTTGATCAGTAATAAAATATCATCTGCGTACAGAAACATCTTGTGCTCCTCTTCGCCCTGCACAACCCCTTTAATATCCATTTCTCCCCTAATGGCAGCAGCTAGAGGTTCCAAAAATAATATAAAAAGTAAAGGACTGAGAGGATCTCCTTGTTTAGTACCTCGAGTTAACTTAAAAAAGGGTGATATTATTCCATTTGTTATTACTGCAGCTCTGGGATCTGCATAAATCACATTCATCCAATTAATGAAACCCTCCCCACATCCGAATAACCTAAGAGTATGTCGCAAAAAGCCCCACTCCACCCTGTCAAATACCTTTTGCGCATCTAGCGAAAAGGCAGCTATTGGTATATTTTCTTCCTGATTGAGCTGTATGAGATGTAACAGATGTCTTACATTATCTGTGGATGACCTTCCTTTAATAAATCCTACAATCCTACTTGATCCGCATGTATTACGGATGGTAAAATATTTTCTACCCTCTTAGCGAGGACCTTTGTAAGAATTTTGCAGTCCACATTAATTAGACTGATGGGCCTAAAACTTCCTGGGTCAGTTAGGTCTTTATCTTTTTTAGCAATTAAAGAAATTAAAGCTTCATTAAATGTTTCTGGTAGCTTACCAAATAGGAATGATTCTTTAAACACTGTCACAAGGATAGGGGCTAGTTTGTCGACATACCTCTAATAGTAATCTGAGGGAAAGCAGTCTAAACCAGGAAACTTTCAAGCCTTCATCGATAAAATAGCACTATTTACCTCCTCTACTGTTATAGGGCTATCAAGATAATCTTGCTGATCCACTGATATTTGTGGCAAACCAGTCTTTGAGAAGAATGCTTCATAATCACTCACCTTTGGATTAATTTCTGATTTGTAAAGCTGGTTATAAAAATTTGCAAATGTCTTATTAATCTCCTTAGTGTTTGTCAACAATTCCCCTTTATTATTTTTAACAGCGGCTATAGCATGACTAGACTCCTTTTGACACAGCTGTCTAGCCAATAATTTCCCAGATTTTTCGCCACTCTCATAAAAATTACTTTTTACACACATATTTGTTTAAATACTGTATCATTATATTTTCCAGATATTGTTTTCTCTAGTTCTTTGAGCCAAGAATCAAGATTATTTATTCTTCGTGTTTGTTCTCTTTTTTTTTATACTGGAATAAGCTATAATTTTTCCTCTTATATAAGCCTTAGAGACCTCCCAAACCGTTCCAACCCTATCGGTTGAACCAATGTTCAGCCAAAAAAAATTGGTAAAGTTCCTCTTTTATCAAATTATTGAATTGGGGATCTTGAAACAGAGATATGTTCATCCTCCATCTATTTTTCTTTACCCTATCTGACTCCAATATTAAACCTAGTTGCACTGCAGCATGATCAGTAAGTGCTATGGGTCCTATCAAACAATCTGAGACAGTCTCAACCAAATCTTTACTAATCAGAAAATAATCAACCCTGGAATGAGATTTGTGATTATGAGAATAGAATGTATATTCTCTCTCTCTGGGATTGACAAGCCTCCATATATCAATCAATCCATTATCCTTCATCAATAGTTTAATTGCCACTCTACCTATCTTTAGGTACATTATTCGAGAAAGTGGTTTTATCTAGAGCCCCATCTAAAACCTGATTATAATCCCCGGCAATAACTGTATGCCCATCATCTTTCCCTCCAACTAATTTATTTATTTTATTAAAGAAACCTGGATCTTCCACGTTTGGAGCATATATATTACGTAAGTTAACTTTTATTCCATTAATTTTTGCTTCCAAACATATCATTCTTCCTTCCTCATCCTTTTGTTCCTTAATAATTAGAAAATTCAATTTCTTATGCACCAAAATAGCCACTCCATGTTTTTTACTTGAATATGAACTATGATAGATCTGGCCTACCCAATCCCTTTTTAATTTAACAGCCTCTGAATCGATCAAGTGAGTCTCTTGTATAAAGGCTACATGGGTTTGTTGTGATTTAAGATATGATAAACACTTCTTTCTTTTAATGGGGTTTTGCAGCCCGTTGACATTCCAGGACACTATTCTTACATAGTTAGCCATATTTTATCTGATGGGTTTCACATTTTTCAGAAGATGTCATCTTATAAATAGAAACAAAAAAAAGGGGGGAAATGAATGCCACCCAGCTGCCTATAAAACCAAAATACCCCAACCCATACAAAATGACAAAAAACAGAAAACCAGTGCAAAACCTCTTCAAAAAAGCAAACATCATCTAAAACCCTCATATGCAGAATCCTACGCCCTGACCCTCCCCTCCTCTCACTCTTGAGAGACCCACCACAAATACGGTCCATGAGTCACACTGAAGTGGTCACCTTCAGGTGCCCTTCCTCACCACCCCTCATATAATTACTCTTTAGTAGCTTTTTCTCACAAAAACATATGCTTATACTAGCCAGTGTTAAGTATTAATTATCGGTGTTCTACTGGCAACATTGAAGTCATATTTGGACACTATATAAACAAAACAAAAGAGAAAAGGTAATGAATTCACACATTCTTCGTCATCTCAACCCAACTGCTTCAAAAGTCAAGTGACACAGCCTTACCCTTATATTAAAACAAAATAAATTACAAAACATACCTTATAGCCTATTTGGTGGCTCCAAGTATCCCACCTCCCACTGCATCCCATACTCAATTAGTTAATCACATAACCCATACTCACAACTTCTTGGATGCAGGGAAAAAGAAATAGTTTATTCAGGTGCAAAAACAAGGGAAAAAAAATACTGCTGGGCTTCATGTCACTGCTTCATGGAAGAAGAATTAGTTTGTCGGAGTGCACAAGGAAGAAGAAAAAAAATGTCCCCAAAGTTTCAGAAATAATCTTCCTCACACATTCAAGCGGTCTGCCGCCTTCTAGCTTCTCCTTTAGACCAATAAGTCGCAGATTCTGGCGCCTGTCTCTGTTAGCAGCGTCTTCAATGGCTTGGTGTAATTCCTCACACTTTTTGGCACTTTTGTCTACTGTTTGGCTTAGCAGGTGGTTATCATCCTCCAGCTGGGAGATGCGGCTTTCTGCTTCGTCTAGCCGGCGAATTATTCCGTCGACGTCTGTTCTTAATCCGACATTTGCCTCCTTAATTTCTGTCATATCTGCTTGCAAAGCCGCCAGTAGTCTTCCAACTTGCCCCATCTCTTCTGTCACCTTTTCCAAGGACTGTTGCATAGCAGCCAGAACACCTCTGTCAGTGCTCGCATTTGCTGGCATGGTGTTAGCTCCTCCACTAGCGTCTTGTCAACATAATGCATGAATCACCAGATCTCTCAACTCAGTAAAACTGCAGCAGCTAGACAGCTATCAGATTATCACTTCCCCAAAACTTGTGGCACAACCACTAAGGTTTAGATAACGAATTTGGGGTATTGTGGTGGGTTCATCGGGACGCTCCCGACTAGGCGACCATCTTGCTCGGTGATATCACGTGACCTGATGTGCAAAATTCTTAATGTTAATCTTAATTTGTAAAGTAACTAACTGTAAAGGAACAAAAGTTATCAAATATTAGTAGTATGTGAATAAAAGCACAGTATTTTTCTCTGAAGTATTGTGGATTAGAAGTAGAAAGTCGCCTGAGATTAAAATATTCAAGTGAAGTAAAAGTACCTCAAATTTGTACTTACGTACAGTACTTCTATAAATGTACTTATATTCCACCACTGGTCAGCAGAGGGATGCACCAAAGTAATATTTCTTTTGCCCTGAAATTTAAAAATCCAATAATTATAATGACTCTAAAGTATTATCTAACTTTTATCATATGGAATTTATGCATTTTTTAAACAATGTGTGGACAGTGAAAATGCAATGTTTTTCTCTTATCTTGGTAAGAGTGCTCTTGACCACCTAAGAGAAGATCACAACAAGAAAACATGGGCAAATTCCAGATATCATTGGGCACTAACAAAATAAGAACAAATAATGGATGCAAACAGAAATAAGAGAAAATTTGTTCATATATTGTTTCTTGCATAAGGCCCATTGTCATTCTCCACTGGGCCTCCATGTTGGTGCCACTATGCATGTTTGATGCTTCTGGGAGGCCTCAGCTGACTATATTTAGTAATCATAACATGTATTTCTCTTATTCTCTTTACCCCCCCATTCCAGCTCCGAGTATACATAAACCTCTCAGGCAAAGGTGACAAGCAACTTGGAGGTGACCTTAGGGCTCTCCGTTTACTGTCTTGCCACACCATCCTCAATCCCTGGGTCTTCATCTTCCTCCGCCCCACCATTCTGAGAGTCATCTGGAGGAAGTTGCGCAAACCGCACAAGTCAGCATGCATCTGGGGGAAGAGTTCTCAGTCCAAGCTGACTGAGGGAAGGTCCCACTGTGCAGCTCCAGAGGCAGGGAAAGGGGGATGACTGGGGACAGGAATACAGATACACAGGCCCACTCAGACTCACGGTGTAGTCTCTGTCTGTGTGTGGACTGAAGAAAGGCTGCAAACTAAACAGAACTGATCTTATCACATCTCAAATGGCATGATTTTAATAACAGGACGTGCACTGGAGTGGTGAGTCACGTGAAACTGATGGTTGCTTTCCAGGAAGTAGACTTGTGGTGAAACACATGACTTGAATTATGAGAGTGAGCCTAGCTGTTCAGTTGTTATCTGAACAATGTGTGTTCACTGAGATGTAGGTGAGATGCAGCAGTCAGTGGATAATTTCACAGGAAATCAACCTATATGAAATACAACACAGTGTCAGGAAATTAACCTGGCGGATGTAAGAAGAGTGAAGCATGATGAACCTGCTCACAGCATGTGAGCCATGAGAGTTTCCGCTCCTCACTCACGGAGCTACGTTCCCTCCACTTCCCCCCTCAAAGTCACACCGCTCAAATTGCTTTACTACTCATTTTTGACAGAAAATAGTGTGTCTTCGCAACACACAAGTCTATTCTGGGTTGGACATGCTTTAAAGTTGTGGTGTGAGCAGTGTTGGAGAGGAATCTCAGGGTTTATGACGATGCCTCAACATTTAGAAAAATCCACTCTATACGCCATTCAGCCTTCCGTTCTGCTCATATACTTACGTTAGCCTATATTATATATCGTTACAGCGATATACCATTTTCAAGGTATACCCTGATGGAATAGTCAATCAACAACATTTGGGACACATAGCCCAAAAGAAAGGTTCAGTAAGAAGCAGAGAGAACAAAAATTAATCTATTACCAATCTATTAACAGTAATCTTATTTTTGATATTTCTTCACCGTGCCACAAGCTTTGATTTTAATGCTAACTGAATACAACACACACATGCACAAGGAGGCAGAGGAAACAGTGACAACATTCTGAGTTTTACTAACAGCATTTATATTCCTAAAATCTGTGGAAAATCTGAGGGTGCCATATGGGCCTGCTTATTACTCTATTGACCCGTTAGTAATTAACTTCCCTATTTAGCATTTATAAGCAGTATAAAACCACTTCATACACTGTTTCTTACACTCTAATGTTCATGGTGTCACAAGAAGATACTACATTTTAAGTGTTTACTAATGTATTTATCAACAGTTATAACTTCTACAAAGCAAAATGCAACTGTGTAGAAACATATTTTATGATTTCACAAATTCATTAACTGTTATTGTTAACTATGTTTAATTATACACATTAAAATTATTGAAAGGAAGGTTGTAGAAAACAAACAACTGTGTGATAAACCTTAAAATATTAAAATATATCTAATATATATAATGTTGTTGTTTGGGTCATACTGACATGTACATTGTTAAAACACACACACACACACACACACACACACACACTCTGTGAGAAAGATGGACGAAATTAAAGAGGGTTAATAAATTATTCTGTTTCTGAGTTGAACAATGAAGGTGTGAAAGATAAACAGATTAAGTTAAATTTGATGAACTGCGAGTAAAGAAAAGTGTAAAGCTTTCTGTTAATACTCCATTTAAAGTAAACCCAAAAACATTTTATATTTCTGTTTTTTCAATAACCTTTGATAACATTTTATCTTTGTAATAATATAGTAAATGTGTACTCAGTTAAGACAGCTTGTTCTCGTTCCAAAGCTATCAAATATCACCGCTTTGTTAGTGGTTTTGATGTCAGACACCTGACGCCAAAAGCCACATTTTGGGATGTCAGTACATAATGACCTTGATAGCGTAAGATTTAAATGCTGCCAGTAATGGTGCAATATAAGGAGCTGGAAACTCCATATATGGGGGATGGGAGAGGTGGTGGATGGGTCTAACAAACCCCAAACACCTGGGAGCCTGGTGTATGCATGTATATGAATGCAGAGCCAAACCATGGTGTTTTTTCCTAAGCCTAACTGTGTGCTTTTGTCACTGGCATTGTTTAGGGCAACCCAGAGGGTCAACAGCAGACACAGGAGGATACCTAGCATGTAATATGTAGACGTCAAAGTCTACTGACAAAGCGGCAATATGTGACGACTTGGGATGAGAACGTGTTGGTTAAGACTACTTGATTGTTGAGCAGTTGGCTCAATATCCAATCACACTCAGCATGTCAATATTGATAGATACAGAACATCTGACAAAATCAAATCTGCTAGGAAAGTGTAGGGAATGCATACAATTAAATAGTTTTTCAAAAAGCAGTTTAGTATTAGCCGATATTTAGAGTGCACAAAGTGGTGATAGATAAAAATTAAGATCACAGTACTGAATGTGACCTTTAGTTATGATCCTCAGATACTTATCTCCAAATATATCACCCTTGTTCTCACAATGACACAAACAGGATATGACCAATTAGTACCCATGACATAGTCTTTCACAGAAAAATGGACCACTTCCTGTGTAATTTGCACGCATTTACTCAAAATAATCAGTGACTTAAATTAATCTGCTGACTTCCAACTGGTAGAGTTTAATCATCATTAAATGTTTTTTTGGACATTCACTGGGGAATAAATTTAAGTAGGGTTGGGTATTGTTAAAAAAATTACAATACCATGAAACTCGATCCATGGAGGTTTTGTTTTTGTAATACTTTTATCAAGCCAGGAAAAGTGACTTAAAGATCTGTGATGTCACCACAATGTAAAGTCTTTCCCATTCTCAGGTCATCAAATACCGATGCTCATGCCCCTTGGCATGTGATATCAAGCCAAAGGCAGCCTTTAGTGTCTTTATGGACCTGCATTTGTATAGCGCCTTTCTAGTCATCTAGTGACCACTCAAAGTGCTTTTTACACATTCACCCATTCACACACACATTCATACACTGGTGGCCGAGGCTACCATACAAGGTGCCACCTGCTACACTCACACACCGATGGAACTGCCATCCAATTTGGGGTTCAGTATCTTGCTCAAGGATACTTCAACATGCAGCCTGGAGGAGCCTGGGATCGAACTGCCTATCTTTCAATTGGTGGACGACCCGCTCTACCTCTGAGCCACAGCCACCCATGAGACACATAGGCTTTAAAATGACTCTAATGTAATCCCATATGAGGCAATATTTGATGCTGAGAGCAGCTGATGTGGTATAAAGAGCAAGAAAGTCTGCATAGGGTGGAAGGGAGGGGAGGTGGATCAAACAAAACAAGACATTCAGCCAGGACAACACAGTTCGTGTCCCATGTAAAACCAAAAGCTGACATTGTTTAAGGTGATGTTACATAACTTATGTACCTACATCCCATGTCAAATCAAAAGTCAGTGTTGTTTTCAGGTAATACAATACAAATTTATTAATATAGCACATTTAAAAACAACAGCGTTGACCAAAGTGCTATACAAAAAATAAGCATGACAAAAATACAAAACACGAAAAGTTTGTTAACACGAATTAAGAACACAAAATTCAGACCACAAAGCATCCTGCTATCACACAGAGACTGAGAAGGCCAGAGAAAACAAATGGGCTTTTAAAAACAGGCAGAGTAGGGGAAGTCTAATCTGGAGGGGCAGCTCGTTCTAAAGTTTGGGGGCGACAACGGCAAAGGCTCTGTCACCCCTCTGCTTTAGCTGTGTTTTCAGGACAGCCAGGAGCGATGTGTCAGCAGACCTCAATGGTCGAGAGGAAACATGGGTGCAGGAGGTAGAGCTTAGATTCTCTGCCCGAGCCCGAGCCCGGCCCAACCCGGCTTGGGCCCGTGGGCCGGGTTGGGCCGGGAGCCCCCCTCCCTCTGACGGGCCGGTCATATATGAGTTTTTGTTTTTTTTTTTTGTTAAAGCTATGATTTGATAATGTTATAGGCTATGTATTGTAGCGACCCTGCAGTAAATGTTCTGTTATAATGTCAATGTTCTGTGAGTTAATGGCATGTTTGGGATTGAATGAGGTGTGGGGTGCGAGTGTGACGGGGATGAGGAGGGCTGTGTGAGTGCGCGTGCTGGTGTGTGTATGAGTGAGCTGGAGGAGAGAGCAGCAGTGCACAGATGGAGTTACAGCTAAGTTCTTGTTTTGTTGGTTGTTTTGGTGTGGTTACGGCCAACAGTAACATGTACTGTTTAGTAATAAACGGTGGTTTAATTGCTGAATAACTGCGTCATCCTTTCCACACGTCCAATGTTGCAACATTGTGCGCGCACAGCCCTTCACCACCTGGATCCTAAAATAAACACCTGTTTTATTACATAATCATGCTTCCGCGTTGCGCCATTCTTTAAGATCCTATATTTCTGTCATTCAAATAACAAGAATTGTGGTATAATACTCTTAATTATAACAGCCAACTTATTGAAAAATGTCGGGTTTAAATCAGGCTCGGGCCCATAATTACAGTTAATTGGACGGGCCGGGCCGGTCCCGGACATAACGTGCACGGATCTAAGCTCTAGCAGGAGGCTAGACAAGTAAGAGGGGGCCAACCCATTAAGAGCCTTTAAGGCCCTGACACACCAAGCCGACGGTTGGCCATTGGTCAAAGTCAGGCCGCTGGTGGGCGTCTGTTGTCCTAGTTTTTGCGGTGTGTCCTGCATCGTTGGCATTTCTGCGCCTGCAGCTTTTCGGCCGATTGAGCATGTTAAATCGGCAACAGAGCTTGTCGGTGAGAGAGATCACTCTGATTGGCTGTTTAGATTTTATTTCCTCGCCCTGTAGCAAGTGAATCTGCCTGTAGTGAAACCGGGGGTAACCGGTGTTTCCTCCTCAGGCTATTCAGGTTAAAGTGGGAAGAAGCAGTGGGTTTGTCGGGCAGCTGAGTGAAGTGGAGCCTACGGAGGAAACACAGGGACCGTCTGGGTGTAATAGTCCGTGAAGGTGCTGCGGTGCTCGGCTGCATAGATAGGAAACCCCTTGGCTGACAGGATGTACCACTCTCTCACTCTGCTACTTTGTTTGTCTCATGGATTCCTCGGACTTCCGGTTTCCCTTTTTGCGTTATTTCCTCTCACGCAGGGGCAGAATATACG